GTTTAGTGTTTATCACTTTGTTTGTAATGACCGGGTTATCCCTAAGAATATTACATGTAACATTCTTCTGGGAACTTCCCGTTACATGAATCATCCACCCCCAGCTTCCTTTGCGAAATTGGGTCTAACATTGTACTTAGTTGGATGACCGGGCTATCCTTAAGAATACCAGACATGACGCTCTCTAGGAACTTCCCGTGAAAGAAAGGAAATAGTTTAGACTCATATACCTGTGGGAGTATGCAGGGAGCAGTTTAACCTCATATACCTGTTAGAGGATGCAGGGAGCAGTTTAACCTCATATACTTGTTAGAGGATTGAGAAGCAGTTTATACTCGTATACTCTTAAGAGTGTCGGAAGGAGCAGTTTATACTCTTATACTTGTCGGAGTCTTCATTCGACTTAATTGAGCGTTATGACGCCGGCTTCAACCAATGTTTGGATGCTATTCTTGAGAGCGAAGCAAGCCTTGGTAGGATGAAGGATCCTCCTGTGGTACGCACAGTACTTCGGATCTGAAGTATTGTCAGCTTCCTCCTGATCTGCGATAGGTGGTAACTTGATTTTGTTATTTTCAAGGAGGGACTCAAAGATGACTGGAACGTCTTCGTCCTTGAAGGAGTACTCTTTTTGGAGTCTCGGATTCGAAGCGTTTCGCTATCTCCGGGATTGTTGTTGTGATGTCTGATTAACACCAATAACTGATGCAGGTACCTTCCCCTTACCACGAGAGACGAAACTCGAATTCGGAGGGTTAGCCGTCGGTTGACTTCTTTCAGCTTTCTTCCTTCTGAGGAAGTGTTCGGCCTGCTCTCCGCGCACCTTCAACTCTTTTCAGGTGTTGGATGGTGCTACTCCCATAACTTCCAATATATCGATGGATAGGTTGTTATGACAAGTTTGGAGGATGAAGTCTTCTGTGATCGGATCTCGGCAGTTCATCGCCTTATTCCGGAAGCGCTTAACAAAGTCGTCGACTGTCTCGTCGTATTCCTGTTTCTCATCGAAGAGTGTCCTGATTGATACATCGGCGTCATCATCAAAAAACGAGTGAGGAACATGTTCTCCAGATCGTCCCAGCTGTTGATGTTTTTAGGTTTGAGATGGTGGTACCAATCGAAGGCAGCTCCGCGAAGGGTGCCAATGAATGACCGAACCATCAGGGCTTCATTGCCAGAGATAATCCCTAAGTGGGACTTGAAATAGATTAGATGCTGAGTGGGGGAACCATTTCCATCAAATGGCGTGAAGTTGATCAGGTTGAACTTCACCGGATACGGTATCAAATCTCACTCTCTTGGGTGAGGACACAGAATACCGGTCTTCTTCACCTCTCGAGTAGACATCATAGCGTTGATTTTGCTCTCGAGGACTTTTATCTTTTCATCCTCGCTCGTATCCTTCCTTGGTCGATTTTGAGGAGGAATAATAGGGTCACCCCCAGTGTTGTCATTATTAGCGGGACCACCCCCGACGTTGTTATTCTCAGTGGGGCCACTCCTAGCGTTTTGGTCAACGGGAGGGTTATTTGCATCGAGGTGTTCATCCACATCTAAATTGCTAGCTGCTTGACTAACATTGTTGCGACGACTGGATTCACCTATCTGATTCGACAAGGTTCGGATCTGTTGATCATGCTCTTCCCTCATTCGCAACATAGCTATTTCCATTTTGAACTTGAAGTTCTCTTTTTTCTTAGCCAAGGCATCCTCGAAGATTTTGGCCATTTACTCGGTGTTGACCATAAACGTCTCGCGGGATTGTCCTATGCTGGACACTGTATTGTCAGAAGCGATGACAGAGTTCGCATCTGATGCTTCATCTTCCAAGGATAATCCGCTATTCATCCTCTGATAGTCCCTACGCCTAGTAGTTCCCGCGCGTAACCGAGTTATACGTTAGGATATGTCCGAAAAATATCGGGGATTGAAACTTCGCGCTAACTTCTCCTTATCGGCCATATTGATGGTGACCTTTGGGAGTTAATCATCTTGCGCAGCTGATCTTTTCCTATAGAAACGCCTTGGCTTGGACTTGGACGTTCTGGTAGAGGTCCTTTCAAATATCGAGATCCTCTGTAGAGCGGTCTTGGGGCAGCTACACACTGATAATACTACCCTGATAGGTTCGGTACACGGACAGTGAAAGTCCGCTTCCCGGGTACTTCTCTATCGAGATTTATTCGTACCCCCATCCCGATAGTACAACTCATCGACGTTGCGATCAGAGCAACCTATCTGCTGTTTGTTTGATTCCTCAGGTGTACCGATGTTGTTTGTTCGGCGCGTCTTCTTCTGAATAGGTAGCGCTTTATTGGCTTTAGAAGGAGTCACACGTTTGGAATCACACCCGTGTGAGGATGAAATTTTAACGGGCTCCTGGTTTTGTGCATGCATCTCCACGCGGGTAGTTACGGGAATCAACTTGTTAGGATGTCGCGTACGACCCCCAGTCTGGATGGTTGCTCAGGGTTCCTTCAACGGTCCCAAGCGTTCCTTAACAGGCGCTTTGCCTTGATCTTCGTGTAAAGGACCCAGGCGACCCTTCAACGGAATTCTAAATTTGGAGAGGTCCACGTCGCCGTAGGGTTTCACCGAAGGTGTGGTGGCAAAAGGAGCGGGATCCGAAGTTGACGAATGCTAGGGAGCAACGTTGCTTGCTTTTGCCTTAGGCGTTGATTTGACCTTTGGCATCATAATTTGTTTGGATCTCGGCGATCTCTTAACCGCCTCTTCCTTTTGCATCTCTTGTGCTTTTCGCACAAGGATCTGGGCATGCGCAAGAAGTGCGCGACGCTTCTGAATGCGCTCCTCAAGAGTGGAACGGTTCCGCTTGACACGAACCCATTCGTTAGTAAGTGGTTGAGAAGAGGTTCGCGAAGCTTGCTGTGGAGATGGCTTAGCCACTTGGCGCTTTCTGAACTCCAGATCTGCTTGGTAACGGAGTCCGTCCACTTGATCTAAAGCCTTGGCGAATGGGCGTGCGAGGCGTTGGCGTTGCCTTTGAGGTGCTCTCCTTGATAGAGTTGGCGCGCCTTCAGCAGTTAACTCCTTGATCACGGAGGACTTCAGATCTGCAGATCTGGTCTCATTAGACGCCGGCGGATCGTTGTGAGGTGCGGCTACAGTAACGGTAGCGGGGAATTCGCCTTCTTGAGTCTTCAGATATGAAGACCAGCGGATCTTTCGGGCGGAGGAGACCTTCTTGCACTTGTGAGGAGAGGCGGATCTAGAGGAGGAGGAGGAGGAGGAGGAGACGTACTCCTCAAACTTCTGTTGGTCGAACTCGTATTCGACCTCTTCAGCCACGAGGATCTTGATCGTCGGCTGCGGCACAACAGCCTCGTTGACGAGACTGTTGGCTCCCACTGTGGTTGCCAGCTTGTTTGGGGAGAAAGTTGATGTCTTCATTGATGTAGTCATTACAACTTCAGTCGTTATAATGATAATAAAAAAGATAGTCTTTTTATAAGACCCTTACACAATGAAAACAAAAAAAAAATACAACTCTCGTTAAATAGCGCAACGGGTGTTTATCGCCCGCTGTTTGCATGGGATCTTGGCCTGTGACGGGGATGTTTATATCCGTGGACCACCAAACGATCAGATCAGATCCGGAGCTTCGTCGATTCGCGAAGGAATCAAGAAGCCGAAGCAATTATGTTGGCAACGGTGAGATAATTACTCTTCTCGAGATCACCACAACGGGGCAATCTCAAGGCAAAGAACCGGGCTGCAGATCTGACGAACTTCTCTTCTTTATGCTGAAGAATTCGCTGAAGTCTCCTCTTCCTCTCTAAAATTCATGGCTCTTCAGTCTTCAATTCAGCAGGGCTTCGCCGACGCTCGAGAATTCCAGATCTGGAAAAATAAAGACCCTAGGGCTGTATTTATATGCTTAGGGATCCCTATTCTCGGATAAGAACGATCGATTCGATCTTATCTTCAGTTATAACCACTTAACCACGTTCTTGGATGATATCAGATCAATTAAAATAAATCCAGACGGTTAACGATCGAAAAACAGCTTAAAACCGCCAAATCAGTATTTTTGGGCTGCGGACCCCCGTGGGTGTCTCGGCGCGGCCAAGACACTCATGGGTGTCTCGGCCTGGCCGAGACACCAAGGGGTGTCTCGGCGAGGCCCGGAGCTTAGTTTCGCATGCTCTGTCCATTTTCGCCGTATTTTCGTCTCCGATCTCGAAATTACGCGGTTCAAGATGCGTTGGAAAGACAACACGGAGATCTACGAGCTTCCATGATTGAATCACATGGGGAGTAAACGAGACCTGAGGGGTTCTTCGTCTTTTGTAAGCGATGTGCAGCTCCCGGTCCGTTCGTGTTTCCGTTGTTCTGAAATTCTGTTGCTTCGCATGGTCCGTCGACTCACTTCATGCGTTTGTCGTCGTCAAATGAGCTTCTGTGACTCGAATAGCAACGTTCATCATCTTCTCTCTGTCTCAACCCGTGTGCGGGGACCTATAGGTAATTTTTGACGCCTACAATATGGAATAGAAACAGGTTGACGGTTTGGATCATAAAAATTCTTGAGGATTTTCTCTATGTAGTGTGTGTGTTAGCACATATCCATTCTCATTCTTCAAGATTTTAGTGTTAATAATTAGGTCAGCTTAACCTAAATCTTTCATGTCGAATTTTTGTGATAAGAAGCACACTAGTGAACAATTTATAAATTTCGAGACGTATTATGATATATTGAACTGCTGAAGAATTCACACATGCGGTTGATCTTGCGCCTGCAACCCTTTGGCTTCAAGAAATTACCGGACGAATTATTTAGCAAACATGTACTACTGTCTTGTTTATGTTGAATTAATTGATAATTTACAAGGAGGGCCTGGCCTGAATCTGCGCTAACCAAATGTACACGAATTTGTTGCTCATAAGCCCAAAATGTTTCCTAAAATTAACTTATATACACTCCTTGGATGAACTTGAAAGTATCCTCTCCCCCTCTGGCTCATC